ACGTCCAGGACACGTTGAACGTCTACACGTGCTATGATTTGCATACCACACTTTCCCCTTAGGTTGTTCTTCATTGTCAAGTGGAGTGTAGTGTAGTGTAGTTGGTGAAACTATAGAGAAACTCACTATAGTTCGGACAAATGCATCGATTGTAAAGACGAAATGTAATTCGAACCTTCGTCCTTCAATTTTCAAGTGCTTACGAGTGTCATTGCACCAAATGGATACAAAATGAGTAGAAACGTCGCCCATACGATTGAATCGTCCAGATGTCATTTTGGGTCTGAAGGTACCATTTTCATTCCGAAAGTAGCACAAGGATGTTTGGGACATGATACACGTCCGAGACACGTTGAACGACTACACGTGCTATGATTTTCATACCACACTTTTCCCCATCAGGTTGTTCGTCATTGTTAAGCAAAGTGTAGTGTAGTCGGTGGGACTATAGAGAAACTCACTATGGTTCGGACAAATGCGTCGATCGTAAAGGCAAAATGTAATTCGAACCTTCGTCCTTCAATTTTCAAGTGCTTACGAGCGTCGTTGCTCCAAATGAACACAAAATGAGTAGAAACGTCGCCCATACGATTGAATCGTCCAGCTGTCGTTTTGGGTCCGAAGGTACCAGTTTCATTCCGAAAGTAGCACAACGATGTTTGGGACATGATACACGTCCGGGACATGTTGAACGACTACACGTGCTATGATTTTCATACCACACTTTCCCCTTAGGTTGTTCGTCATTGTCAAGCGGAGTGTAGTGTAGTGTAGTCGGTGGGACTATAGAGAAACTCACTACAGTTCGGACAAATGCATCGATCGTAAAGGCAAAATGTAATTCGAACCTTCATCCTTCAATTTCCAAGTGCTTACGAGCGTCGTTGTACCAAATGGACACGAAATGAGCAGAAACGTCGCCCATAAGTTTGAAATGCCCAGCTGCCGTTTTAGGTCCGGAGGTATCGATTTCACTTCGAAAGTAGCGCAACGATGTTTGGGACATGATACACGTTCGAGATACGTTGAACGATTCCACGTGCTATGATTTTCATACCACACTTTCCCCTTAGGTTGTTCTTCATTGTCAAGCGGAGTGTAATGTAGTGTAGTCAGTGAAACTATAGAGAAACTCACTATAGTTCAGACAAATGCGTCGATCGTAACGACGAAATGTAATTCAAACCTTCCTCCTTCAATTTTCAAGTGCTTACGAGTTTCATTGCACCAAATGGACATGAAATGAGTAGAAACGTCGCCCATAAGTTTGAAACGCCCAGTTGCCGTTTTGGGTCTTGAGGTACCGATTTCACTCCGAAAGTAGCGCAACGATGTTTAGGACATGATACACGTCCGGGACACGTTGAACGTCTATACGTGCTATGATTTGCATACCACACTTTCCCCTTAGATTGTTCTTCATTGTCAAGCGGAGTGTAGTGTAGTCGGTGGGACTATAGAGAAACTCACTATAGTTTGCACAAATGCGTCGATCGTAAAGGTAAAATGTAATTCGAACCTTCGTCCTTCAATTTTCAAGTGCTTACGAGCGTCATTGCACCAAATGGACACGAAATGAGTAGAAACGTCGCCCATAAGTTTGAAACGCCCAGCTGCCATTTTGGATCCGGAGGTACCGATTTCACTTCGAAAGTAGTGCAATGATGTTTGGGACATGATACACGTTTGGGATACGTTGAACGATTCCACGTGCTATGATTTTCATACCACACTTTCCTCTTAGGTTGTTCTTCATTGTCAAGCGGAGTGTAATGTAGTGTAGTCAGTGAAACTATAGAGAAACTCACTATAGTTCGGACAAATGCATCGATCGTAAAGGCGAAATGTAATTCAAACCTTCGTCCTTCAATTTTCAAGTGCTTACGAGTTTCATTGTACCAAATGGACATGAAATGAGTAGAAACGTCGCCCATAAGTTTGAAACGCCCAGCTACCATTTTGGGTCTTGAGGTACCAGTTTCACTCCGAAAGTAGCGCAACGATGTTTAGGACATGATACACGTCTGGGACACGTTGAACGTCTATACGTGCTATGATTTGCATACCACACTTTCCCCTTAGGTTGTTGTTCATTGTCAAGCGGAGTGTAGTGTAGTTGGTGGGACTATAGAGAAACTCACTATAGTTTGGACAAATACGTCGATCGTAAAGGTAAAATGTAATTCGAACCTTCGTCCTTCAATTTTCAAGTGCTTACGAGCGTCATTGCACCAAATGGACACGAAATGAGTAGCAACGTCGCCCATAAGTTTGAAACGCCCAGCTGCCGTTTTGGGTCCGGAGGTACCGATTTCACTTCGAAAGTAGTGCAACGATGTTTGGGACATGATACACATTTGGGATACGTTGAACGATTCCACGTGCTAGGATTTTCATACCACACTTTCCCCTTAGATTGTTCTTCATTGTCACGCGGAGTGTAATGTAGTGTAGTCAGTGAAACTATAGAGAAACTCACTATAGTTCGGACAAATGCATCGATCGTAAAGGCGAAATGTAATTCAAACCTTCGTCCTTCAATTTTCAAGTGCTTACGAGTTTCATTGCACCAAATGGACATGAAATGAGTAGAAACGTCACCCATAAGTTTGAAACGCCCAGCTGCCGTTTTGGGTCTTGAGGTACCGATTTCACTCCGAAAGTAGCGCAACGATGTTTAGGACATGATACACGTCCGGGACACGTTGAACGTCTATACGTGCTATGATTTACACACCACACTTTCCCCTTAGGTTGTTCTTCATTGTCAAGCGGAGTGTAGTGTAGTCGGTGGGACTATAGAGAAACTCACTATAGTTTGGACAAATGCGTCGATCGTAAAGGTAAAATGTAATTCGAACCTTCAATTTTCAAGTGCTTACGAGCGTCATTGCACCAAATGGACACGAAATGAGTAGAAACGTCGCCCATAAGTTTGAAACACCCAGCTGCTGTTTTGGGTCCGGAGGTACCGATTTCACTTCAAAAGTAGTGCAACAATGTTTGGGACATGATACACGTCCGAGACACGTTAAACGACTCCACATGCTATGATTTTCATACCACACTTCCCCTTAGGTTGTTCTTCATTGTCAAGCGGAGTGTAGTGTAGTGTAGTCGGTGAAACTATTGAGAAACTCACTATAGTTCGGACAAATGCATCGATCGTAAAGGCGAAATGTAATTCGAACCTTCGTCCTTCAATTTTCTAGTGCTTACAAGTGTCATTGCACCAAATGGACACGAAATGAGTAGAAACGTCGCCCATACGTTTGAAACGTCCAGATGCCGTTTTGGGTCCGGAGGTACCGGTTTCATTACGAAAGTAGCACAATGATGTTTGGGACATGATACACGTCCGGGACACGTTGAACGACTACACGTGCTATGATTTTCATACCACACTTTCCCCCTTAGGTTGTTCGTCATTGTCAAGCAGAGTGTAGTGTAGTGTAGTCGGCGGGACTATAGAGAAACTCACTATAGTTCGGACAAATGCGTCGATCGTAAAGGCAAAATGTAATTCGAACCTTCGTCCTTCAATTTTCAAGTGCTTACGAGCGTTGTTGCACCAAATGGACACGAAATGAGTAGAAACGTCGCCCATAAGTTGGAAACGCCCAGCTGTCGTTTTGGGTCCGGAGGTATCGATTTACTCCGAAAGTAGCGCAACGATGTTTAGGACATGATACACGTCCGGGACACGTTGAACGTCTACACGTGCTATGATTTGCATACCACACTTTCCCCTTAGGTTGTTCTTCATTGTCAAGCGGAGTGTGGTGAAGTGTAGTCGGTGGGACTATGGAGAAACTCACTATAGTTCGGACAAATGCGTCGATCGTAAAGGCAAAATGTAATTCGAACCTTCGTCCTTCAATTTTCAAGTGCTTACGAGCGTCGTTGCACCAAATGGACACAAAATGAGTAGAAACGTCGCCCATAAGTTTGAAACGCCCAGCTGCCTTTTTGGGTCCGGAGGTACCGGTTTCACTTCGAAAGTAGCGCAACGATGTTTGGGACATGATACACGTCCGGGACACGTTGAACGACTCCACGTGCTATGATTTCATACCATACTTTCCCCTTAAGTTGTTCTTCATTGTCAAGCGGAGTATAGTGTAGTATAGTCGGTGAAACTATAGAGAAACTCACTATAGTTCGGACAAATGCGTCAATCGTAACAACGAAATGTAATTCGAACTTTCGTCCTTCAATTTTCAAGTGCTTACGAGTTTCATTGCACCAAATGGATACGAAATGAGTAGAAACGTCACCCATAAGTTTGAAATGCCCAGCTACCGTTTTGGGTCCGGAGGTACCGATTTCACTCCGAAAGTAGCGCAACGATGTTTAGGACATGATACACGTCCAGGACACGTTGAACGTTTGCACGTGCTATGATTTGCATACCACACTTTCCTCTTTGGTTGTTCTTCATTGTCAAGTGGAGTGTAGTGTAGTGTCGTCGGTGGGACTATAGAGAAACTCACTACAGTTCGGACAAATGCGTCGATCGTAAAGGCAAAATGTAATTCGACCTTCGTTCTTCAATTTTCAAGTGCTTACGAGCGTCGTTGCACCAAATGGACACGAAATGAGTAGAAACGTCGCCCATAAGTTTGAAACGCCCGGCTGCCGTTTTGGCTAAACAAACAGTGCTACTGTCATTTTTATCAGAATCTGACTTACAAATCTATTATAATTGATCAAAATATATCACAATATAAAGATTAATAAATGATTAACATCCATCCGTCCGTCACAAACGTGAATGGACAAAAATGAACACGAAATGTGTAGACATAGCACCCATAAATTTAAAACGACCTGATGCAGTTTTGGTCTGAACAAATTGTGATGCTGTCATATTTATCAAAAATCTGTCTGAAGTAGCTATCATACTTTGTCAGACAACTATCACAATATATCAAAAATTATCATAATCTATTATAATTTTAAGATTATGTTAAGCAAAAAATGTTCTATGCATCTGTCAACTAGTGTAGAGTATTTTTGCAAGTTAGACGATTATGGCCCCTCTGGCCACACCTACTACATTTACGAGTCTTTCTTCCCTCTCCTCTTGATGGAATTCGACGATTTTTTGGACGTCCACTTTGTCTTCGATTCGAAAGGGGTGGTAACACCTTTGGCTGATTGGAGATTTCCCAATCAGCTTCATTTGTCACTGGATATATACATTCAGCATATGCTTGTTTCCAACTAGCACTGATATAATAAAGTGAGCACAAACTGCAACAAGATATTCCCTTAAATTTAGCTACTGCAAGTGCATGTTTGTAAGGAAGCTTTTTCAAATCAAATTCCCTACAACTACAGGTTCTTGCCTCCAAGTTCACGATATACATTTCATTCTCAACACCGACGTGCAACTCATACTCATTTATTGGTACCACTATCAGTCCCTTTGCATCATTATACTTTTTACGCATTTTATCCTCAATGGGCGGGGTTAGAGTAGTTGCACATTCTTCCGCCTCAATGTGTCTCTCATAAAACCATTTCTGTAAAGTTTTTCTTATTTGTTCAACCATAGCAAGTACTGGAAACTCCCGAGCATTCTTGAATAACGAGTTCAAAGATTCTGCATTGTTAGTTGTCATAATATTGTAACGGATTCCTTTGAAATGTGCTCGGGACCAAAATTCATACCCAACTTTCTTTTCTAGGTATTGTCCAACTGCCGGACTTTTACAATATAGATTTGCCATTGATTTTTCAAAATTAATCAAACTATACTCCTTCGCAGTTGCCATAAACAATGGCAGAATATCGGCCTTATGATAATTTGACTTTATGTTTAGTTGTAGATGCCACATGCAACATCCATGATGTGCATAAGGATAAACAATCTTTATAGCGTTACCAATGCCCTCCTTGCAATCAGAAATGAAAACAAGCCCTTCCAACATACCCATTACATGAAACAACTTATCAAAGAACCAAGTCCATGATGCATTATTTTCAGAATCAACAATGCCAAATGCAAGAGGATATATCTGAAGATTTGCATCTTGACACGTGGCAACAAGTAACGTACCTCGAAATTTTGATTTCATAAATATTCTATCCACAGAAATGACATGTCTCATTGATGAGTGAAAACCACGTATGCTTGGTCCTAAAGCCATAACAAAGTATTTGAATCGATTCTCATTATCAATCTCAATGAACGTCACTGTACCGGGATTATTCTTCTTCAGAATATTGCAATACTTGGCCAATCTATCATAACTAAGATCAGGTGAACCTCTTAATAGCTCTATAGCACATTCTCTAGCCATCCATGCCTTGTTATAATTTATATCTATGCCAAACTCCCGACGAATATCATTTTGAATGTTCGAAGGTCTGTATATAATGTTGGGATCCTCAAACTTCGACATGATGTGTTTTCCTATCATCCAACAACTAGCTTGTCTATGATCTTTGTGGCGAACATCCAATAAACAATTATGATAACGTGAATACTTTCGAATTTCAAATTCGTCACTTTCCTTCAATCGTGTTGCCCGCAAATATCATTTGCAAATTTCCTCAACACATACTACTACATATGTACTCTTATTTGACTTAGTGACCTTAAATTCGAAAGAGTTTCTTACAGCAAGCATTTGTAGTGATGCCTGAAGATCCTTCTTGTTGTAAAAAATTTGGCTAACGTGCACATCATCGACGTCAGGAATCTTAACTGATGTTCCACAAAGATTCGGACAAGCAACAACTTGGGAAATGCCAATGATCTCATCTACCAATGTAAAAGGTGTATTATGAGTAACATTGTCTTCATTTATCACATGAGAATCATCTATGTAGTTGCCATGCACTACTTCTACCCCATCCCAATAATCATCACTTGTAAAGTTCACACAATCGTTTTCACAATTTTGATTACATGGAGACAACGGTCGCATATAATTGTCATCGGACTGATCATTTTGCATATACAATTCATTCATTTCCACCGCATTATTAGTTGCAACAACATTTGAAATGCATTCATGATTCTCCTGAACATTTACAATATCAACATTCATGTCTTGTTGATCAACATAACCCTTTTCTACAAGGGTTACACAAATTGGAACTTTGTCATGCAAAGAAAGAAACCAACTAACATCCATATCGCAAGTAATCTTCATTGGCGGAACTGATAATTTTGTCATGCTGGGAACGAGAAATTTCATCTCGATGTCATACACATTGGGATCAACCTTAACTGCTTTTCAGACTTTGTTATACAACTCTGCATATGAGATTGTTTTTTATACAAAAATATTTGTTGCGATGTCTTCATCATTCCCTATCCATTTTCTACTCCATTCATTTTCATCACTTTTTTCAAATTTAACAAAATAACAAATAACAATCATTGCACCAGAGTCCATATCTACAATTCAACAAAAAAAATATAATATATCACTCCATTAATTGCCAAAACTAAATACTATGAATCACAACTTCAATAACAAATAAAAGGCTACTCATATTGTTACACAACAGATTTCAGCAGAACAAAACGGCATTTCGTAGTTTAAAATGTGTATGTGTCGTTTAAATTTATTTATGATAATAAAATGCTATAAAAGAATGGGAAAACAACTAATTTGTCAACAAGTATATCAATACCTCCATTGTCTTATCAAAAACGACAGCCAGCTGGGAAAAAAGGGCACCCAACTACTGAGAAATGCCACCATTCCGTTTCAATATTTTACAGCAAATTTTAATTATCCAATTGATTTTTCTCATAGTATACAACTAGAAAATAACAACAAATCTATAATTTTCAATTTATAAAGCTCGCCTTCAACTGTGTGAAATCGATTCTTGCTAACCCACTTCCAAAATTTGCACTATTTCACTTGTTCTTGGTTCAAGAAAGGGAACTTCAACATGTAATCATTCATTGTAAGCAAGAATAATGCATATGAAGAAGAATACAGCTGAATTTAAAGGTGAGTTTAATATGATGAAAATAGACTTGGAAACGAGAGAAATGAAGGGGATTTAGGGATTTATATTTGGGGATTTGGGTAATATTCATTTTCAAATTAGATATTTTAGTCATTTCAATTTAAGGGTATTTAAGACTTTTAATATATAATCAAATAAACTATAGACTACTTAAACAAAAAATATTAATATAGGTTATTTTATCAAAGATTATAGTTGACTAGGCTTCTTAAAGAAAATCCCCTATATTTATATTTATTAGGACGAAAAGTATTTAGGCCCTATTTGGTAGGGATTTTTTGCCTCAAAAAATTGATTTTTTGACCGTTATTTTACTATTCAAGCTGTAATTTTTGACTTCTTATCTCACATGTGGACCCCACTTTTCTTCTAACGGTCAAAAAATCAATTCTTAAAATCCCTACCGAACGGGCCCTTAGTAGTGTCATCGTCCAATGTCGAGCGCCATCTCAGCCCCCGAGATGGTGCACCTGATAGGGTGACCGCCTACTGAACATTCTCATATTAGGAGTGATGGACCTTAGAGAAATGAATTACTCTCAGTTCTTACAAAGTGTGATCGAACGAAATATTTTTTAATCTATGTATTACATAAACACCAACAAACAATTAGTAGGCCAATTCAATTCAGATTTCGAATACCCTATATCCCATTCTAGAATGGGTCATCAATGCACCGGCAACGTTCCCGATGTCTCCGCGAAAAATTGCAAGGCCGAACTCGACTCTGGAGCTCCCCTGCGAAGGAGCAGCGCCAGGTTACCGAAATTGAATACTCAAAAATCGTCCGTCGATGTATCCTCTGAAAATGACTCCGGGTCAATGCATAATCTTGAAAAGGAGAGTAAGAATGGGGGCCGGGTTCACAACAAAAGGAAGCTTGAAACGCCTCAAAGTGGAGTGGTCAGAGTAGTAGCTGAGCCGGTAGTCATCAATGGTGGTGAAAGTAGTAGTATGGACGAGTTGGTTGGAAAAAGCGCATATACAATGGTCACTGAGAATTTGCGGACTTTCAACAAGTATTACCTCCTATTCAGGTAAACTAGATCATACAGTAGGTAATTATATTTGATTGTATGGTGATACATTTATAACTTATAAGTCTCCTATTTTATTTTATTTTATTATTTATTTTTATTTTTTTATGGGAAATTAGTGGTTTTGTACCCAACCAATTCCTGAGTAGTGAATCTTTTAAGTTTGAGCATTGGCGCCAAGCATGCAAAACGACTAATAAAATGATTCATTAATATTTCCGTTTCCTACTTTTCTTGGCTCTGTGTAAGACCTCTTCGCATGTTGTAAATCGTCTACATTTAGAGGGATGTATTGGCTTACTTAGGTTTTTGTTTGGGAGAGATTATTTGAAATGAAAAATGATTTTTTTTGGAGAACATATTACTAAAGAGTAGCAAAAGTTATGGGTCCATGTGCAAAGATTATTTTATTGGGAGAATGAGTTTGAGAAAAAATGACTTTCTAATAAGCTGTGCCAAACAAACATGACTAGTTACTACTACATGTAAGTTTTGTTTTTATGTTACATGTCAAAAGAAAAAAAAAATGATGCTTTGGTGTTAATTCTTTCAATTATGCTAGATGTACATTAAAAGTTTGACATTGTTGTTGACACTCCATTGTTTTCAAAAAAAGTGTTGGCGGGATAGTGTGCTTCGACCAATGTTGATATCGCCATGTGGTACAATGTAAAGGATGATGTAAAACTTAATGTACATGTATCATGATTTCTAATTCTTTTGTAGGAAAAAGATAAAAGGTGTAAAAGACAAGAAAGCCAGCAAAAATCACACAGGAGTTCAAAATTCAAGGTTTGCATTCTTCTATTACCTTCAATTCTGCATGACGGTTTCCTTAAATGTGGATGTGGCGATGTATTTGTTGCTTGAAGGAGTTGAATTCATTATTATATTAAATGTGGATGTGGCGATGTATTTGTTGCTTGAAGGAGTTGAATTCATTATTATATTACCAATTATGTTATCAATTTCCTGTTCAAGAAGCACATAATTCCATCTGCCAATAGCAAAATGAATTAACCTTGGCTATTGTGTTGAAATTTGTCCAGAAGAACTATACAACTGAAGATGATGCTAAAAGGCCAAGACCTGATTTGAAGGCGGTAACTAAGGCATGCCACCATTTTGCCTAGGTGATACATATGAATACACGTGGGCGACATTGATGTTCACTTTCTCATAATTCTGCTTCGTTTTAATATTCATATTCCTTGCTAATTTGTTAGCATCTTTAGAATTAGTTTAGTTTTTCTTGGATATTGTGTAGTTAAGTAGGAAGCAAACCACCTCATTTAAAAGCTTAAGATGTTAGAGATGAAACTTATTTATTTATCTGAACGCAGTCTTCCCCACCCATCCATGTTTAATTCAAGGCAAAATATACTTGAATGGGTAGCAGTGATACTTGAATGGAGGCCCTCTGTCTTCTCTCTGTTGAGCTCTCGATTAAAAGTTAAAATTATTAGAGAGGGGACACATTTATTATTTAAATGTAGTCTTCAATAATGTACTTGAACACATACTCTGGTTATGTACTTTGAAGTTTGTACACGAGATTAGATTTTGCTCCTATTTGATTCTTGCTATATGTCTTCAATATGATTGTACCCTTTTATGTTGATGGAAATTATTAGATGAAGGAGACTGGAGCTGTTCTATACCTGGGCAAGAAGTTTGGCCCCATTCCAAGTTGGTTAACTGTGCCATACTCTAAAAGTTTTTATAGAAATTATAAGATGAACGACACTGAGGAGAAATCTGTAGTTGTGCATTGTGTACTATATATTAGCTTTTGCAATGGAATCTTTTGCTTAATGTAAAAGTTCAGTTCTTCCATGGTTAGGGCGATGACAATGGTTTGTGAAAAAATTGGCAGTTGTTCAGTTATCTATTTTTAGGGCGCTGACAATGATTTGGTGCTAAACCTTGGCATCTATATGTTCTAATAAGAATTAGTTTAATTTGCACTTTGCATGTTGTCTTGATGTGTTGTTCATGAATTGAGTCTATCCCTTAGGATTCACCATGTTATCGTACTTGTTAATTAAATAGTAATAAATAATCTTCCACAGGGACGGATCCAGGATTGAATCCACGACCGGGCTACAAAATTTCAAACCGGGCTATTAAGTGGAAAAAAAAAATTTTACACATAAAAAACTGATTTTTTACCCAAAAAAAAAATACCTTAAAAAAAAACTCTTGGATCTGGGGGGGGCTACAGCCCAGCCCCCCGCCCCCATATCCGTCTCTGATCTTCCATAAATAGTTTTCTATTTACTTTTATCCATTCTTCATCTAAGTATTTTCAAGAGATTTCTTGATTGGTGGTGAATATATTTGAATGCAACACACAGAGTTTCGTACTTAAGAATAAGGGTGTATTTGGTTTGTTGTTTTCAATTTTCAATTCTGTAAAACACCAATAACTTACTTGATTTGGTATTTTTGAATATGTATTTTTGAAAACAAGATTAAATTTATAACATAAAATTCAAAACGTACTTTCGAAGTTTGAAAACACTCAAAACATGTGAAATTAAAATAAATCCAAATTAATACAATAAAATTGTTTTCCCTCTTTTACTCTTAACCCTAGCCATTTGTCATCAATTTCAAACCAAACCTTTTTTTTTTTGAGCATTAGATTTTTAGAATGACAAACCAAACACATTTTCTGCAATTTTAAATGAATTCTTGTGTTTTCCACAATTTCTGTGCTCGGTTCAGGTGGCTTGTAATTCTGTGGAGATTGTGTCTTATTCCTTCTTGAGTAAACCTTCAGGTTATGGTCTCTATCTTGTACGCTCTCAAGTGGAGTAACAAGGATAGGAGATGGAGGTTTATAACTCACAGGAGGTGAAGGTTCAAAACTCTTCGTAGAAGAAATCTCATGCAACACCTTTCACTTAATTCCTTGAAAGTCACAAGGCTCATGTAAGAGATGTGGTGGCTAAATTAGTGGAAGATCAACTATACTTGCTAGATTCATTATTGATATGTTTTGCACAACCATGATTGATGTGGTATTGTGGCCTATGATTTTGTGAGCAAGCTTATGTCTTCTATACCTTTGCCTGGTGTGGTGGCTAACCTAGCAAAGTCGCAATGATGTTCAAAGTTCAAACTGAGGACATGAATGATATAGACACTGAGATATTGAGTTATAAGTCATGGGTTTTCTTAGTTTTCCTTTTTAATTATTAAGTCTGTTTATTTGAACATTATTTATCTTATTACTCATTGACAAAATACATCCAACCGATCTCTTTGTTATGAAAATGAATGGCTGGAATCAAAATGCCAAAAAATAAATGGGGACCAATGTGCCAATGGCCTCAATCATTTAAGAAAATGGTTACAATTTTTCCTTCGCTTTAAATGTTTTTCCAAGTTGTTCTTTTTTCTTCTCTCACATCACTTTGGTTGGTTTTAGTGTTGTGGTGACAACCTGATGTGCGTATGGATGGTTGGGCCGTGTATTAAGAACGTAAATAGTTTTTTCTCCTCATTCTAGTGATGGCAACGGGGCGGGGACGGGGTAACCTTTTGCTCCGTTTAATTTTTTTTTATTTTTTTTACATTTTGAAAGTTTCGAATTATGTTATTATTAGAGAATAAAATACAAATTCAAAATGAGTTTTTAACGGATGAATTGTCTAAAAATAAAATTATTTTTAAGTTTTTATTTTTTTTATTTTTTTCTTCATGGGGCGGGTTCGGGGCGGTGCATCCTCACCCTGCCCCGCCCCGCCAACCCGTTCGGGGCGGATTTTTTTGCCCCATTCGGGACGGGGTAAATTGTCATCCCTACCTCATTCTTTATAAAATTGAGATTCCACCGATGAACTTGGCCCTCAGTTTATCAGGCTTTATGAGAATCTAAGCAGTCTATTTGAACCCCTAATGTTTCATATATTGGCATGTTGCCACTTCTTTGCCTTTTCTTTTCACTCTCACTTGACAAATCAGGAACTTTCATCAATGTCGCTGGTCATTTGTGGAAAAGGAAAGACAAATCCTAATTTAATCCGTCTAAAATATTTATCTACTATTAGGCAATTTCAGTGACCGATGTTTTTCTTGTCTACATTATGTTTGCTAGACTAATTGAGCCAAAGGCTGTTGTGTTTCCATGCGGGCCAAATTGTGGCTGTGGACCTCATTTTGTGAATAGGATATCTCAGAGGGGGTCTAAGTATCGACTAGAGGTTTGTATGGGCAATCTAGCGTAGTTTATCTACCCCTTGTATATCAAAGTAAGTCAACCTCTATATCATTTTTATGCTGATCAACAGGTATTTCGAACCCTGAGGATGTGTTGGGGTGTCAGATCTTGGGACTCTATACCTTCTGGAGCCCCGGTTTGTGAATACATTGGTCTGCTTATGAAGACAGATGATCTGGACCCTGCTGCTGACAACAGTTATGTTTATGACATTGATTGCTACATTTGCTTGCAAAAAATGAAAGCACTGGAGGGAAGAAAGGTCAATGTATCAAGTCTTAATCTCACACTATATTCTTCGTTGAATGTTTTGTTTTGTAATCTGAAATTACTCGAGACAAATGTAATTTGATATAGTTCAACACAGGACTCATTTGAAGATTATGAGTTTTATATCAGAAAAATAAGCACGTGCTAATGAAAAATCGGAATTGTGAATTGTTCTGATTTCCATATTTTTCCTTGTGCTTTTAATTACAAATCATTTCCACTATCTTAATTTTAGCTTATTTAGCTTAAATCAATAAAAGAATCCATTTTTATTTTTTTGGAAGTATAAATAATTTTGTCTTGACATCATTTTAGATAAATTTTGCCTGTAAATATCTTCATGTTTAGAAAAATGATTACTCAAAAGTAGAGCTATAATCTGGAATGTCAAATTAAGAAAAAGGAAAGTATGATCCTAGCATGATGCTGAAGAGAGGAGTTTTTTGGCTATAAAAATATTCATGGGCATACCCGATACCCATAAGACGAATTGATTTAAAGAATTTGCCTGACTTAGAATTGGACAAGACACTACGGCAAGCAATGCTTTTGCATACCTTCTCTTCTCTTCTCTTGGCTTTCTCTAGTCTCTCTCTCTCTTCTTATTTTTTTCCCCTAATGAGTGAAACTTTTTCACGATCATGGCAGAGGCGACTGTGGGATGCAGCTTTGCCATCACACGTCGGAAAAGTTGATGATGAGTCATCCGACAGCGTTCCATTCTGCATTGATGCAGGCCAGACCGGTAATATCACTAGGTTCATCAATCATAGCTGCCAACCCACTTTGTTCGTTCAATGCGTGTTAAGCAATCATCATGATATTAAACTTGCACGGTTTGTACTTGTTGCTGCTGACAATATGTTTTAAGGATGAACGAGATAAGTAGTAACTTATATCTATTGGAATTGGTTAAAAAAAAAAAAAGCAAAAAAAAAAAAAAAGGAGAAGGGAAAATTGGTTAAGTGTAGAACTGGAAATATGAAAAGGTGTGATTTCGTGTCAACTTCGGACAAATATTCGGACTTGATTCGACGGTCAAATTATAAAAGTAAATAAACCAATTTATTCTATTCTTTGAATAGATCGTCGTGATATTTTGAAATTTTGAAACCAATTCCGGATGAATTAGAAATTGTGATCTAAACTAATCATGTCTTTTCACTCGAATTAGTATTTCTAGCAAGAATATAAGTTCTCTCTAGTTTTTCAACCCCTTGTAGCTTTTTAATATAAGTTCAAACGAGTTTGGCTCGTCTCTTAAACTTAATTTGATTCAATATTTAATTAATTCAATTAATTAAATTTGGTCCGTGAATTCGGGTATATTAATAAGCAATCCAATTAATTAATTATCCAACGCTTGTTAATTAATTAATTGATGAATTTCATTCTTCTAGTTCTTCTTTAGTGTATGACCTGTTATGTTTTTAATGACGATGCTTAATGATGTGAATTATTATTTGATCTAATCGAAATCAATAAATTAAAATATCCCTTTTTAATTTTTCATAAATTCACGTACTTTGTCCCAGATTGACATCTAGCAATCTGTCAGTAAATACATGAGACGGGAAATGTCTTTTGTTATGACAAAATTAAATTTGTTCATTTATCATAAAACTATAATTCTTTCGTTAATATGATCCAATCAATTACAATATATGGAAGTGTGTTAATCTCGATTATTGATTATATCTTTTATCTCACTATTAAGTCAATATAAGTCGAAAACTCATTTTCGATTTATATGTATATCTTGGCCAAGGATTTCATTATCAACTTAACTGAATAAAATGTAAATTATAATATGTTACTATCTAAGAGTGACAAATCCCCTTTGGTCATTTACAACTTTCATATGATTCTTGACATACATAAACGATGTAGTATTAACGATCTTTGGTAGAGCAACATTCAACATCATAAAAGTATGACTGTCCTTATCTACAGCATTATAATGACCTGAAGTCAAATGATCAATTCCACTATCAAGTGTTAGAGATTAACCACTGATACTCAAATAGTTATTCGTGTAGAATTTCTCAGCGGGTCTCCAATGTTTTGTTCTATAACAAAATATTCACGTGTTCATTTAACTGTCACCACACTTTAGCTTGTGAGATCAACTACTTACTTTACAAGTTAGAAATGACACATGTGATGGTTTATCTGTATTAACGATATCCGTATATCGTTATTACTTACAAACACGAATGATTTAAAAATTCAATCATATGTAATTTGTATCTCACAATTATAACTCTTTTTTATTATCAAATTGCTAATATTTAAATTTACGGACTCTATTATTTAATATAATTGAATATTAATTAGATAATAGATCTACCATAAAATTGCATCAATTATATATTAAAAGTTCTTATGTTCAAAATTAATTGAACCTAAAACATAACACTTATAGTATGTGCCATTGATTTTCCAGAGCCACTTGGGCCTTCTTGTTATAGGGCTCTCGAAGGAGTTGGTTTGCGACAAACCGCTGATTTTGAGGCTACACGGGGCATCCTCATTAAGGATGTGTTCTATCAGTCTCCTTGCCCAACTGCCTCACATTCAGGGCTAGGCAATATCAATTATATATTAAAAGTTCTTATGTTCAAAATTAATTGAACCTAAAACATAACACTTATAGTATGTGCCATTGATTTTCCAGAGCCACTTGGGCCTTCTTGTTATAGGGCTCTCGAAGGAGTTGGTTTGCGACAAACCGCTGATTTTGAGGCTACACGGGGCATCCTCATTAAGGATGTGTTCTATCAGTCTCCTTGCCCAACTGCCTCACATTCAGGGCTAGGCAACATATTATTACGAGGCCCTTAAATTTTGTGCATGTTCGATAACTCCCGACAATTGGCCTTCTTTTTCTACTATATAAACACATGCCCTTCTCTTTAGCACTGTAAAAAGAAAGAATGCATTTCATGAAGCTAAACTATTGGTCAGTAGCCATGATGAGTTTTCCCCTTCCCAAATTTTACACTAATCATTCTCTCTTCACTTATATTACTACTCTACTGCTTTACTAATAAGTGATATTATGCAAAAGAAAAAGAACTTTAGCCCAATAAACAAAAAAGCAAAATATCCCTTTTTTCCTTTGGTAATTGGTCTGAAATTGTTGAAGGGACAAAAGAATCATCAATTCTTTCAGTAGAAATTTTACATTTAATTTTGGCCTTTTAGGTGCACATCACAATAAAAATTTGCTTCAACTTTGTAAAACCATTATCCATAGATTTTGGAGTGAATAAGAAATCTATATAAAATAAGGAAACAAGCTGTAGAGTAATATTCTAAAATTTACTATATTGCAAACCTAAATTGTACCTAATTAATTATGCCAATATGGATTTACCTTCAAGCTTCAGCCAACATTGTCAGAGCAAATAATGTACTTTCACATGATTCAAACTTACAAAAAGAAATAAGAAAAAAACCAAAGTAGATTGTAGAAAACAAGTTTCTTACTTATATAGGTATTGTACTATAGATGAAAGAGCAGTTCCGCATCATAAACCCAATGGTTGTTTATGAACTTTTCAATTTCCTCAAAATACCATGCTTTTAGACTTGGAACTTGATTGAATTATTACTCCAAACTATGATTGAATTATTACTCCAAACTAGAAGGCATAGGTATAGAATTTTTATATTTGCAACAGATTCTTTTCTTCCTTCTTGCCCTTGTTCTGATTGGGTGGTAGTCCTCTTCCTTCTAGGGCTACTCTAGCAGCAGTGGTTGGATGGAATCAATTATTTCAATTCAATAAATCAAAGTTTCACCATCTCTTCCCCCCTCTTACCCTAGAAAGACAATGCTTTTATGAAACATTGTGTGGGTTTTTTATGGGCTCTACTTTGGGCCAAATTTTTTTTTGCGAGGCCCCTTAAAACATTGAGGCCCTAGGCAGCTGCCTAGTCTGCCTTGGACCAGGGCTGGGCCTGCTCACGTTTGTTGACTGATCCTTTCCACGATGATATGCTCCATTGTCGCCTTCAAACCCACGCATTCAATAGTGTCACAGCGGTCTTCATTTATCCGTGTGCCTGTTTATTTTCTAATCATGGATTTACTCCTTAATCAAATCCACCAAGTCATCATACATCTTGTGTGCTCGAACGTGGACATCTCTCCAGAACGGAATAGTCTTTTCTAAGTTGAACCTCAAAGCTTGAAAAGATATATCATATTGGACGCTTTTCACCTCTACCATTTCTTGGGCGAAATGACTAAGGTAACTTTACAGAGGCTCACCGAGACCCCATCTTATATCATAAATTCTTCTCGCTGGGGCCGAATCAGGCATTCTCGTGATGAACTAGTTTCTGTGGTCAACCCAACTGTCGACGCTGCCTGACTTAAGCTTCTTGTGACACAGAAGCTTCGGTATTTTTGTACTGGAGTTTGTGAGCACTTTTCTTCTTCTTCATCTTTTTTTTTTTTTCTTTCCTACTATTTAAAAAAAAAATAAAAATAAAAATAAACCAACAACGTCCATTTGATCTAGTTCTTCAAAATTAGCTATTTTAACTCAGAATTAAAATTTGTTACTTAACTTTAGATTAAAGAATATACATCAGTCAAAAGTCTAATCCATTATTTCTACAAAATGTTATAAGCAGCATATAGGATCTGTTCCCTTTTCAAATCATTTTCTTTTGACAAAAGTGCCTACTATAATTCTTTATTTATCTTGTATTTTTAATTAATTAATTATATAAAGTTCTCAATTATATATACTAATCATTATTAAACACTATAACCCATTATATTCAAAATTAGCGTGAATCCCTTCATAACCACGTTATGAGTCATAAATATATGTTTAGCACGTTGTCATTGTGTATCCCACATCGATTTAATACCGAAATAGATACCAATTTATAAAGATATTGAGCTTCTCCATTTAATAAGGTTGACCTTATTAAAATGGGCTCCAAATCTTAACATGGTATCAGAATCCATTAAGTTCCAACGAGAGATTTGATCCGATTATAAGTCTCAATTAATGAGCAATGGATTGCAAGATTGGTCTGGTCAAACGAGCCACTATCTTGTAGGGGCATATTAAGGGATAAAAATTCAACATCGGTTAAATACCGAAATATTGACCAATTTAAAAAGATCTTGAACTACTCCTCTTAACAAGGTTAACCTTTTAATATGGAATCCCAAGTCTTAACATGGTATTAGAGCCCAATAAGTTCCAACGAGCTATTCGATCCGATTAAGTCTCAAAAATGAGCACACGGATTTCAAAATTGATCTGCTCAAAAAGAGCCACCATCTTGCGAGGGCATATGAAGGGATGTGTTATCCCACGTCGGTTTAATACCGAAATAAATACAAATTTATAAAAATATTGGACTTCTCCATTTAATAAGATTGAGCTTATTAAGATGGGTCCCAAATCTTAACAGTCATCTTCCACAAGCAATATCCTGGTATTTTGCATGATATGAGGCCACAAGCTCGTTACAATGACCCACTGTGCCGCAAGCCTGTCCGGAAGAATGACCCATCCGTGGAAAGTTATGAAATATTCTCGTTCCATGATTATAAAAAATTTTAATAGGAAACAAGAACTTTTATTGTCTAGTGAGTGGAGATGTGCTCGTGTGAATACTGTAATTGTAAATATGATTCACATCTTTAACGTCTTCGTATGCCCGAAGCACTTGTTCGTTCTTTTTATTCGACCACTTATGTAAGCTTGTCATAGTCATCTTGGTCATTCATCAAAGCCCCTTTCGCTTTAAACAAATTTCATCATCGTGTGGCCAACATTTTTGGCTATGAAAATATATTTTGATCATAATAACTCTATGAATAGTATCACAATATT